CAAATGCGTTCCAGATGCATTTCTGCATGCGCGTTTTTTATGCATTCCAGTGCATTTTTGATGCATTCCGCTGCATTTTTGATGCATTCCGGTTCATTTTTCCCCTCTATATTTCTCCAATTTAACTAGGTACATGTGCGTTCCAGTCCATTTTAGTGAGTTTTGGTGCGTGCCAGTGCATTTTGGTGCATTTTACCACGTTCCAGTACAGTTCTGTGCAGGAAAAATGCAGCATGTTCTACATTTTTTCTGCAACTGGAACACACTGGAACTGCAAGCACTGATGAGAACTATGACATTGACAACCATATAACCTACTTTCTGTTTGTTTTGGATGTAGAAAAAAAGCAACTGAAACGCATGTAGCGTGAACTGGCCCTGAAACAGAAAGTTAGGGGTAATACTACATTTTGGAAGCTGTTGCCACAGCAAGATGTAGGAGGAAATCTTGCAATGGGCACAGATGTTCTGGTAACAATTTTGCAAGAGGGGATTTCCCCTCACTTTGTGAAGATTCCGTCTCACTTTCAGTTGTGTCTCCAGGACAGGAAGTGACAGAAATCTCTCCAGTGGGACACAGACAATAAAATAACCTGACAGGGGTTGTAATCGTTCCCTACTGTTACAGAGAAGAAGCATTGGCCTTACATACAATTTTAGACAGAATATTCAGATTTCTTTTGAGCCCAACTATGACTGGTTCTCTTTAACTGACCTGGACAATCTTTATCGCTGCAATCCCAGAGTCCATTTCTGCAGGAGCTAAGTACAAATATGCAAATTAGTCTAAAATCTTTATTGGAGACCACAAAGTCAGAAATTTTCAGTATCAGAATATGCAGAAATTATGACGGGAGGAAGGAAAACGTTTCTAATACACTTTGGCTGGATAGTATTAAAAAAAACACACAAATTAAAAGTATTAAACTATATATGTATTCAGTGTGATCATAGAAATAAACATTTAACAGATGACAAAAAAAATAATAAAAGCACTAATAAAGCTCAAAGAGCGATTAATTCAGACAATTCCCTTCAGACATTCTCTAATCGAACCTCCAGAGCCATACAGTGAAGAATGGATGACTGGACTGACTCCAATTTGTGTGTGTGTATATTTCTTCCTGAGCTATTGGGCTTTGTAAACAATAGAGATTTTTCACAACAGGAGCACAAAGGGTCCACATTTTTGTGTATGTAGGATCCTGCTCTCCCACTGCATGTGTGTACAGCGGGGGTAGCATGTATTCTTTGCACCCAAAGGGTCAAATACATGCAGTGGCCCCTGGAAAGGTAAGTGTATAGAGTAGACTGTTCTTTTACAGTCTACCTTGTGTTAAGAAGTGACTCTATTGTGACTTTAACTGCCGCACATAAAAATCTGACCTCCTGACCTGCCAGATAGGGCTCTGCTCATAGTGGAGCTGCGCAAATCTCAGGACTAGATGGTTAGGTCAGGAATTAAGGTCAGGAATTAAAAATCCTTTGGCAGGTGAAACAGCTCCCATATACTGTATTTATTTCTCATGTGAATTTAATCAGAAGCTTAGCTTTAGTTTAGGTTTTGCTATACTGTATTAAGACAAATAATGAAAAATACTCATTTTTTTTTTTTTATTTCTGAATGGCAGCTTAATATGTTAGCTGCTAATATTATGGCAAGTGGCTAGTTTTGTGTTATATAGACATGTATTGGCAGTCATTACCCGAAACTACTATAGGCAGACATGTGAAAAAAATAATGTGTTGCTCAACAAATTACAAAATTACATATTTTTCTTCATGGATGTCCCTAAGGGTATTTGTGCAACCTGACAGAAGAATTTGTTAATTGGCATTGATATTTAGCCTGGTAAATGAGTAAAGACATGGGTATGTGCAGTAGTTGATGGGTGTATTTAATAGCTCAGTTACATTGCTAAATTTCTAACACCCAAGCACCCCTTCTCCCTAGAGAACTCCTGCATACAGTTGCAAGAAAAAGTATGTGAACCCCTTGGGATTACGTGGAGTTTTGCATGAATTGGGCATAAAATGTGCTCTGAACGTCATCTAAGTCACAACAGTAGAAGAACACAGTCTGCTGAACATAATACTACACAAATATTAGATGTTGCCATGGTTTAATTGCACATAACATGTAAACATTCACAGTGCAGGGAGGAAAAAGTATGTGAGGCCCTAGCTTAATGACTTCTCCCAGAGCTAATTGGAGCCAGGAGTGAGCCAACCTTGACTCCAATCAGTGTGATGATATTGGTTGTGTTGCTGACAGCTATCCTGCCCTTAAAAAAACACACACCTGTTTTGGGTTTACTGGTTTCAAGAAGCACTGTCTGATATGAACCATGCCTCGCAGAAAAGAGCTCTCAGAAGACCTACGATCAAGAATTGTTGACTTGCATGAAGCTGGAAAGGGTTAGAAAAGTATCTCCAAAAGCCTTGATGTTCATGTGTCCACGGTAAGACATATTGTCTACAAATGGAGAAAGTTTAGCACTGTTGCTACTCTCCCTAGGCGTGGTCGTCCTGTAAAAATGATTGCAAGAGCACAGCGCAGAATGCTGCATGAGGTAAAGAAGAATCCCAGAGTGTCAGCTAAAGACCTACAGAAATCTCTGGCACATGCTAACATTTTTGTTGACACATCTACAATAAGGAAAACATTAAACAAGAATGGAGTACATGGGAGGGCACCACGGAGGAAGCCATTGCTGTCCAAAAAGAATATTGCAGCACGTTTGAAGTTTGCAAAAGAACACCTGGATGTTCCACAGCATTACTGACAAAATATACTGTGGACAGATGAAACCAAGATTGAGTTGTTTGGGAAGAACACACAACACTATGTGTGGAGAAAAAAAGGCACAGCACACCAACATCAAAACCTCATCCCCACTGTAAAACATGGCAGAGGGAGCATCATGGTTTGGGGCTGCTTTGCTGCCTCAGGGCTGGACTGGGATTGTTGTCATTGATGGGAAAATGAATTCCAGAGTTTATCAAGACATTTTGCAGGAAAATGTACGGCCTACTGAAGCTCCGCAGAGGATGGGTGATGCAACAGGGCAATGACCCAAAGCATACAAGTAATTCAACAAAACAATGGCTGCAACAGCACAGAATACACCTTCTGGAGTGGCCCAGTCAGAGTCCTGACCTCAACCCGATTGAAATGCTGTGGCATGACCTTAGAGAGCGATTCACACCAAACATCCCAAGAATATTGCTACACTGAAACAGTTTTGTGAAGAGGAGTGGTCCAAAATTACTCCAGATCGTTGTGCAGGTCTGATCTGCAACTACAGGATACGTTTGGTTGAGGTTATTGCTGCCAAAGGAGGGTCAACCAGTTATTAAGTCCAAAGGTTCACATACTTTTTCCTCCCTGCACTGTGAATGTTTACATGTTATGTGCAATTAAACCATGGCAACATCTAATGTTTGTGTAGTTTTTTATGTTCAGCAGACTGTGTTTTTCTATTGTTGTGGCTTAGATGACGTTCAGAGCACATTTTATGCCTAATTCATGCAAAACTCCACGTAATCCCAAGGGGTTCACATACTTTTTCTTGCAACTGTATATTTATATACATATATTTTTTCTTGGAATCTTTTTTTAGCCAGTCACATGACATTCCAGAGTCCTCTTCCCCTTTTTCCTCATGCTGCCGTGAATGTTCCCCTGTGAGCTCAGGTCAGCATGATGACGTACCCCACGGAGTCCATATCGGTGCCACCCTAAACTCGCAAGAAGTGGGTTCAATAATGCTGGGTGGCTGTCAATAAACCTGGAACCGCAGGGCAGAGGAAGACATGGAGTGTAGGACTGGACTGAGGATGAATACTACTATAAGTAGTATCTGGAGGTGGGCTTTAATTGCTATTAGAAAAGATTAATTGCTACACGTACAGACCCAATGGTTCCTCATAATGTGAGATACACAAGTAGCATATAGTAGCAATTAATCGCACTCATTTGGACACATGGCTAAATTAGATGTATCAATAGATACGTTCCTTTAACCGCTTTCCCACCGCCTTATAGCAGAAATACTACTACAGAGTGGCAGGGGTGCGCAAAATCACATATATATACGTGATTTAGCATTTGCAGGTAGGGTCGCGCACTTCCTGCCTGCGCCACTGTTCGCGCAGCCCCGGCTGTCAATCACAGGGTCCTGGTAAACAATACAGCTCTCTCCCCTGTCAGTTCCAGCACATTGCTTTCTATGGCTCTGCATAGCAGAGCCATACAAAGCAGTGTGGTTACAGTTGAAAGCACACAGACAGCATACTGTGAAACAGCACACAGCACACAGTTAACCCTTTGATCACCCAACATGTTAACTCCTTCCTGCCCAGTGCCATTAGTACAGTGTCAGTGCTTTTTATTAGCACTGATCACTGTATTGGTATCACTGGGGATGTCAGTGACACCAAGTCAGTTCCCCCCCCAGTGTCAGAATGCCCGCTGCAGTCCCGCAGTCACGCTATAAGTCACTGATCGCCGCCATTACGAGCTAAAAAAAAAAATCCAGTTTATATACCACCATTTGTAAACGCTATAACTTTCACGTAAACCAATTAATTTACATGTATTGGGATTTATTTTAGCAAAGACGTGTAGCAGAATACATGTTGGCCTAAATTTATGATGAAGTTTGATTTTTTGCATTTTTTTACTGAACTTGTTTAATAGCAAAAAGTCAAAAATATTGTTTTTTTCTCAAAATTGTCAGGCTTTTTTGTTTATAGCGCAAAAAATAAAAAGCACATCAAATACCACCGAAAGAAAGTTTTATTCATGAGGAAAAAAAGGACGTAAATTGCATTTGGGTGCAGCTTTACATGACCATGTAATTGTCAGTTAAAGTAACGCATCACTGTAACGCAAAAAATGGCCTGGTCAGGAAGGCGGGTAAATCCTTTGGAGGGCAAGTGGTTAATAAAACTGAACCAAAAAGGAGCTCAGTTGCAGAAGACAGAAAATCTTCAGCTCACCAAGTATTACAATCCCGAGTGATTTCGGCCCCGGTTGGATATCGCTTGCCAGCATGAACACAGGAACATTCAGAAAGATCAATACACTGAGACCCATCAAGGACTTTCCCGTCTGTGTATGAAAATAAAGACAGTTAAAGGACCAATAAACTTCAAGCAAAAAGATTACAACAAAGAACTGTAGCATTAATCCACAGTAGATTTCACAGGTCCTTTCCTAAGTCAGTGCAAGACAGCCAGGCACACTGCAGCAGTCCATCCGCTATGGATAAATAAGCAGTCTAGGGCAGTATTTCTCAACCTTTTTTCAGTTAAGGCACCCTTTAAAATTATGCACAATCTTGAGGCACCCCGTTCTAAAATGTAAAACGATAAACTTTACATAATGCAGCAACATCCACACACCTAGGACACCCTACATTAGAGGTGATGTATTCTTCCAAAAGCAAATAGACCTTTTCACACTGCTAATGACTAGTATGCCAATGTTTCTCTTCTCCCTCAGTTTCTCTCTCTCACATAGCTAATGTGATCCCCAGAGAGGGAGAAGGGCAAACAAGGATGCTGTGTACACAGCCAGCGTCCTTCTCACATCATTGGTTGTTAGGACACTAGAAGCTAGAAGGTGGTAATGATGAAAAACTTAGGCTTTGTGTAACTAAAAGGCAGGCTTCATCCACCCACTGACTTGTATACAATTTTGGGCAACTTTTAGGCATTTTGCCAAGGCCCCCCTGAAAAAAATCTGAAGGCACCCCTAGGTGTCTGGGCACCCTAGCTGAAAAAAGGCTGGTCTAAGGGTTGTCTTTTTTTAGTCTATTTGCTTTTATTAGAGGGTCTAGGGTGATGAGGGATACACCAAAACAAGACATATGTCTAGTAGAGGGCAACTCTCGCTTAGTTGCAGTAGTACTAGTATAGGTAGACTTATAGTCCACTCTCCATGGCTGGAGACCATGAGACAGAATAAGCATAAAGGCCAACTTCAGTAGAATACGGTTCACGGCTGTGGACCATGAATCAGCCTTAGCCTAGAAAAAGGGGCTGCACTCACAAGATCCTGACAATGGTCAGCCACAGGTGCAGCCTCCAGCTAGGTAGTTCAGCCTCCAGTTTGGAAAAGGGGGTGCAAGGATAAGCAGTCCTCCTTTTTTTCTCAGCACATAGATCCATCCCCACAGGGGAAAAAAAGAAAATTTTTTCAGGGCTCCAGACTATTTAACATTAACCCAGCCACCATCTGGGCACACCTCCCCAGGGATTGGCTAGGACCTACTAAATATTCATGCCAGGTATTTGAATTCTCACTCTCTAAGCTCTAGAATCTAGAAAGACAGAGGGAACACAATTAACTCCCAGCCTGTGAAGCTCCAAACAGACCAAACTAAACAATCCTTGCTCCTGTGATTACATCAGAAGCCTAAAAACTAAATTTACCTACCAGCCTAACTAGGAGGGCATTACAGAACTAATAGTAACAGTCAGATGTGTATCCATATCTTGGAAATATTTGACCCTTACATAACAATGGAAGAAAATGAAACCTCCCCAGCAGGAAACCACAAAGAAATGAAAAACCTACCAGCAGTCATAACACTTCCTACTAAAAGAAGTCCTTTTATTGCTTCTGTGTCCCTGTTACATATACCCATCAACAACCAGGAATTTAAAAAAATCCAGAGTGTACAACCAGGAATTAAACAAAATCCATAGTGTACAACCAGGAATTAAAAAAAAATCCATAATGGGTTCAAAGACATCAATAAAAACAGACAAGAGCTCCTAGCATTTCTTCATTGTTTAATGTTAGACAAAAAGGTTTTGGCTGGAGATGGGCCTTAATTACAGTATATGCCGGTAGATTAATACAACTTTTTATATTTACCCATAGATGTTATTTAAATATATTTATTACAGCATCACTTGTAGTTTTTTTTATTAGAGTCCCTTTATACCTACCTGCTTGACCCATCTATTGGTAAACATCATAGTTAGGATTGTGTTTTGGATATAGAAGCTCACCTGGGCATCTGCAACCATCAATACAGCTCTCCTGGCACACTTCATTAATGTTGAGACTCTGGCAGGTCTGAACACATGGGGACACGCATTCGTTATACTCCATCCCATGTGGGCACTCTGGCTCTGTAAAAAAAGAATAGATGTAGGACAATTAGGAAACAAAGTCTAAAGGAAGCTGATGGACCAGTAAGGGTTTTACCATAGTGACCTGTTTTCTAGGGCTCGGCATTGTGAAATCTAGAAAACTGAATTGAAAGTGGGCATATGTCCTGTGGAAACCAATAGTGTGTGTACAGTATATCTGTTAATTCATTTCTTATTCTCACCCATTCTACAGGCACCATGACTAATACACTTGGAAGCCTTTTATTTCATGGAATTATTTCAATTTTTTTGCCTTATTGGTTGAAACAAGTTAGGAGATGGATGTTGTGCGGCTTGAGTAAAGAGGCAGAGTCTCAGATGAAACCTGCCAGCTTTTTATATTTATTTTTATATTTGTTTTTATTTGTCACATATTTGATTGTCACAATTACGTGTTGTGAGAGTTTTCACCTAACCCCTAACCATAAACTTAACCCCTAACCCTAATCCTAACCCTTACACCTAACCCCTAAATTTAAATAAAGAGAATGTGCTCCTGCGCTTATGGATATTTTCCACTCAACAACACAAACTAGACCTGATTGCAGCAGTCTTCTAATTGTGTAAAATTATCACAAAAAAATAAAATTTAAAAACAGATGAATCGCGCATGGTCATAAACATGTGCATATTTTAGTGATATCATAAACCAGCCCCATAATTAGTGAAAAAGAAAGTGTAAAAGAAAGTGCTCGTGCTTGTGTTCAACTTGTGTTCAATATCTTGATTGGTGCTCCACTGTGCTCAACAAAAGTGCCCCACATGGACTGACACTCATTCCATGACCATCTATCTCTAGAGTGGTCATTAACGCTTACAATCCCAGTAAGCCAATGGTCCTCGGATCCTTTAGCCTGTAATCATCTATCCTTAAGGCGGACCATGACATATAAGGAACAATTTCCAAAAACACCCGCTGTCTCCACAGCTCTGCAAGCAGGAAAGGAATGTGTCACCATATATGAAGAAAAAGAAGTGGACATCCCATAGTGTAAAATTGCTTGGTACCTTTATTGGAGGTAATTATATGAATATACACTCACAAGAAAAGTGCCTATAGTCCGGCACCTGGTGTACTCAGCCTTGTTGTAAATCAAAGATGGAAGCTGCTTTTCTTGTGAGTGTATATTCATATAATTACCCCCAATTATGGGACTGGTTATGATATGTCTAAAATATGCACGTTTATGACCATGTGCAGTTTATCTGTTTTTTAACTTTAACCCCTAACTTTAGCACCTAATTCCTAACTCTAACCCTAACACCCAACCCCCCACCCCTAACTCTGACCTCTAACTCCTAACTCTAACCCCAAACCTTAACCCCTAACCCCAACACCCTAATCTTAACCCTAACACCTAACCTTAACTCTAACCCCTTAACCAAACAAAATAAATAAATCATAAATGAATAAAATTTAAAGTGGTTGTAAAGGCTCAAGGTTGTTTACCTTCCTGCATTCTGTGTGCAGCAGTACCCCCAGCCTCCTCAATACTTACCTGAGCCTCACCAAGATTCAGCTGTCCCAGGTCTCTGCCTCCTCATTGGCTGAGACAGCAAGCAGGAGCCATTGGCTCCCGCTGCTGTCAATCACAGCCAGTCTGCCAATGAGGAGAGATAGGGGGCACAGCCAAGCCGCGGCTCTGTGTGTGAATGGACACACAGAACAGTGGGTGCCCCCTAGCAAGCTGCTTGCTGTGGGGGCACCCAACAGGAAGAAGGGGCCAGGACAGCCTGCAGAGGACCCAAGAAGAAGAGGATCCAAGAAATCACTGCACACAGTAGGTAAGTATAACATGTTTGTTTTTTAAAAAAAAAATAAATAAATAACCGTTAGAATCACTTTAAACATTTAATAAAAGCTGATGGAAAAGCTAAACATCTTAAAAACCCAACAACAAATGATGAAACAAATGATATTTTTCTCTATTGGCTACTAAAAAAAAGGCCAAACTCCAAAAATACTTTAATAATGCTGTACAAAACTGCACATAAAAACAAACATCAAAATGTACGAAAAAATGCTAAAAAAAAACAAAGTTCAGGTGTGCATGCAGCCTTAGGGGTATGCCTATATGAATTACTGCTCTGGAGTGGAGTGGTTTGGTTTTGCCTACATTCCTGGTTTGGTTTACTGAAATTTTGAAATGCATTTTGAGCTTCATCACATAGTGAGATCCTACACTCCTACACTGTCTATTTTCTATTAACCTAGGAGGGTCACTTTAGGTGGATTACTTATTTTTATGTGCATATTTGATCTCTAGTGGGTTGGGGTCAATATATTTGAGTGATTGGTTTACTTAAACCTTGGTATTGACTCAATTTATTCATTAAAAAGCATGCCCATAAATGTGCAAATAAGTTACCATAAACAAATGCATATTCCATAATGGTATAAAATATATACCTTTCAACAATAAAATGTCCATCATGTGAGTATCACATCTAAAAGAGTGATAAAGAAGTCTTCTCCTTGTATCTTAAATGCTCACAAAAGAGAAGTGCAATTATGATGCTTCGAAATATTTATGTATCTCCCCAATAGAAACAGACTCACAAGTTACAAGTTACCCTTTATTACAATAAGGAAGTCACAAAAATGCTTATTTTTAAACAAATGTGTCTGGGATATATAATTTACTGGAAGTGTGCTTTCTTCTCCCTAGGTTAAGTATCAATAATAGCCATAAAAAAGAGGGAGAACCTCATAGTGCAGAAATGTTTATAACATCACAGCCCCCGTAATTCTTTAAACCTACAGTATGTAGCCTGGTAAATATTATCATGGTGTTGTTAAACAATATGTTCAAATGAACCCATAGTGACCACAAAGTATACTCTTCTTCTAAACAATAGCAGGCAATCACTATAGGATTAAGAAAATTCATAAACAAGATTGATAAAATAACTCAAATTCGAAAACAAAACTATATGGCATATACCTGGCACCAATATAAAACACCAGTTAAATAACAAGCATATATAAATAAATAAATAATATACCATTTTCATGCAATTAAGCATCCACAATCAAACTATCTAATAAACTATAATGCAATAAAAAATCTGAAATAAACCCATACCCCCCCCCCCCCCCAAAAAAAAACTAAAATTATAATGCAATAAAAAGTCTGCAATAACGCTATCTGTTTACAACCCCTTTATACTAATATATAATCCTTTTTGAAGGACCTCATTATTTTTTGAAAAGAATCTCTTTTGATGAGGACTACATATTTATGATTATAGACATTAAGTCACTGTGTACCAACAATAAAAAGAACAATGATTTTGAAGCAACAAAATTGATTTTAGTGGAGAAGTCAGGAAAACAAAACAGATGGGTTACATAGTCCAAAATTTTTCATGGTAAGGAAATATTTTTGGTATGGCAATAATTAATATTTATAGACTCAGGGAGTTGCCATGGAGGCTAAATTCACCAACAGTTTAGCTAATATTTTTATGATGCAGTGGGAGAAGGAGTCTATGAAGGATGGCCTAAATTAATATTTTAGAAATGTTTTATAGATGATATTTTCAATTTTTGGACGGGTCGCTGTAATTTGATAGATTTCTTTTACTTTAGCTTAATCATAACAAGCATTTGATTGGTTTCTCGGATACAATTGGACAAGAATACTATTCATTTTTTAATTTAGTAATTTAGAATTTTTGGATTTATTAAAAGAATAATCTGCACTAAAACATATTTTAAAAATGCAGATAGGAAGAGTTACATATCCAGGTCAAGCTGCCATCACCCAAAATGTTTTGGCAATATTCCAAAGGGACAGTTAATAAATATGATGATAAATTATGATTCACTGGAAGACTTTAGAAAGCAGGCATATTTTATAGTAGACAGGTTTGAACAGAAGGGTTTTTAAAAGATACAATTAGAGGGGATATGATAACAGATAAGGATAGACATGAATCACTAGCAATAAGGGGAGACAAAGCCATTAAAATTTAAATTATTTTGTATGTCTGGTACAAAATGTATTGAATCCACCTGTTCAGAGAGGGAGTTATTTGTGGTAAGGAATTTTATTGTTGTGGAAGATGTAATAAGATGGTATAGGTGAAAGGTGGTCGTTTTTTGTGTTGTCTAAGGCAGCACAAACCCTAAATACACCACTGCATACAGTATGTGAAGGAGTGCCCTTGTGGACAATGGTAAAATTATGTGTGAGGATAACAGAATACATAAACAATATACTGTATATAAAGATTTAAAAAATACAGTGTATCCAGACACTTTAAGGTCTCGCATGATAAGGATCCTAGTTCTCTGAAATTCTATGGAATAGGGAGAGTATTTAGACAGGAAGGGTGGGTTTTAATATAAGGACATATCTAAAAAAGCAAACAAATTGATATATCTTCTAGATACAATGCACCCCAAGGGCCTCAGTATAAATCTGGATTTGAATTGCATCATGATTTTAGTTTTGTTGTGGGAGTTTCTATATGTGTTTTTTTTGTTTAATTGGTGTTTTATATAGGTGCCAGGTAATGTTCATGTTTTTATTTTTTTCATAATTTTGTCAATGCTATGAATTTTCCTAAAACCATAGTGATTGCCTGTTATTATTTTGAAGAAGAATATACTTTGTGGTACCTATGGAATTTAGTTGTTGTTAACATTTTTGTGTATCAACATCAAGATAGTCTTTACTAGGCTACATGGGGTTAAGGGAGTACGGTGGTTGTGAAAAATAAAATGGAATATATGGAAGCCATGTTTCTCCAAGGGTTAATGTGGCTATTTAATTATGTGCACACGGCTGTGTCTTGACTGCTCCTGAGGACACATTTGATGACGTATGTCAGATAGGGCTAAGGCATGGTGACAGCATGACACTGACATGACGTACTCACTAGCAGCGTTTGCGGTGTAGTGTGTGGATTCCTAACCTTAATGAGCGATCTATCCTGTAGTGCTAGGTGCAGCACTAGCATCATGTAAATGT